ACTCCAGCTCTCTCAGCTTTTGCTCACAGAGGAGGTGTTCAAGCCCACTGATCATCTCAGTGTCCCTCCTCTGGACGTGCTCCAAGGTCCATGTCTTTCCTGTGCTGAGGATTCCAGCACTGGACACAGTCCTCAAGGTGGGGTCTCACAAGAGTGGAGCAGAGGAGGATCCCCTTCCTTAACCTGCTGCCACTTTGGACGCAGCCCAAGACTTGTTTGGCTTTCTGGGACACAGGTGCATATCATTGGGCTATGTCCAGCCTCTCATCCCCAGTCCTTCTCTGGTAGGGCTGTTCTTGAATATTTGCTGTGGAATACTTGCTTATTGATAAATCTCATATATGAGGGAAAAAAATTATCATAGGATTACTTGGGTAAGTTTTTATTTATTTTTTTTTCTGCACTAGTCATCATATTTGGATTATGATTCATAATGCCATTAAGCCAAACACTAGTTTTAGTACTTGCGCATTTACTTTTTCCAGTCTAAGCACAATAGTTCATGCTTTTATTTACTGCACTTGTCAGAATTCCAGACTATTTTCTCCAGCTGGAGATACTTTTGGACAGAGATCTGGAACTTAGCACCATCCATCAAAAGGCTGCCATCCCACCCTTCATCTAGATGTCATCCACTAAACTGGCATATGTATACTCTATTCTGTCAGGCACATTGCTAATGAAAAATCAGAGTAGCAGTAAGCATGGAGGAAACTCTTGCAGATCCTGACTTGTTGCGACCTTTTTGTTTTGAAACCATCAGCAGCTACTCTCACTGCAGTTGTGAAACCAACTTTTAATGATTTCACCTGGACCATATTCCCCAACTTACTTTACAGGACTGTCACATAGGACTGTATAAATTCTTGTTAAATCCAAAATTGTCACATCTATTTATTCCCTATTATCCATTAGGACAATTACCCTGTCAAAGGAAAAAATTAGATTCATTTGACATGATTTTTCTTGACAAATTCATGTTGACTGTTTATTATCACTTTATTATACCTTAGGCCCTTGCACGTTGATACATTAATCTTTTGTTCTAGATATCAAGCATAGCCTAAATAAGATATTTGTCCTCTGGTCCTGCTTCTTTCTGCTCCTTCCCACAAAAGTTAGAACCATAGTAAAATACTGGAGAGTTATCCTTATCCTCAAAAAAATCCTTCACAGTTGTTTTAATGGAAGACCACATTTTGAATCCTGTCAAATTCATACAGTGGAACAATAAATCAGTTCAGTGATACCTTTGTTTCATAGAGATGGAGAAAAATAAGGTAAAAAAACCCAACTAATAAGGACTGATGAGCATCCCTGATATGCAGGGAAATATTACTGCTGTTGCTATTTAAGTCAAACAATAATTTCTGGCTCATATAATTGGAAATATTTTTAAAGTGTATCATAACGGAATTCAAATCTTGTGAACGCATCAGAATTCTGCCCAACCTTTTTTTAAAGGCAAACTGGGTCATCACTCAGCCATCTCGTTAAATGAGAGGGAAGAAAAAGGTAATCCCTTTGCAAAAAATTGACCTTGTTGACAGACACTGAGAACTATAACTTCATCAAACAATCTCATGAGCAAAGGAAGATCAAACAGGCAAAACAGGAAAATTCAGTAACCTTTTTTTTTAAATTTTTTTTCCAGACTATAAGCAGAAATTTATTCCTACAGCTACCTATAGGCACCTGAATTATCCTACTGAAGTCAGCTGGACTACATTTTACAGACACTTTTAGATCTTAGAGATACAGATTCAATGTTTGCTACAAAGCAAGCGTTTACTGGTGCAACAGCTCTCAGCAGCTGCCAACATCTAAGTGGCAACATAGGCACATGCAGCTAAGCATATATTTAAATGTATCACCCTAGACTGAATTCACAATGTGAGTCTAAGTGACATATCTAGATTTCTCTGAGAAAAAAAATTTGCTTGAAATGGACTCTACAAAACGTACCTTTGCTGTTCTAATGTTTTTGCTCAGCATGGAGAGGCTTTGGTTATTTGCACATTCGTCCCTTCCCTTGTATGAGATTTATTTTTAAAAGAAATACTGAACACACAGCTGCCATGAAGATTAATAGATAACTCCTTTACAAAGAAGCTAAATTATTTTAGACTATTGTACTGTCTTTTCTCATCTTTTTTAAATGTGTTTTTGATACCATGTAACCAGAAAAAAAACCAGCTCTCCTGCTCTTAAAGAAATCTCTAAAGGGAGTAAATTGTGTATTCTACGCAAAAAAGAAAAATCCCACAGACCAGTTTTATTGTAAACATTTTCATAATATTGTTGTGTAGCAGGCAAATGGAATTTCTATTCATTACTCTCTGATAAAACCTATCTCCCGCATCTAAAAATAGAGATATATTGATAGAATAGACACAAAGCCTAGGTTCCTAGACAGAAAAGTTATTTATTATTGTTATGGATTTAAATCGTGTTCAACAAAATATGTTGAAAATGAAAGCTAGGAATATTGAGTAAATGAAAACTTTTTCATGATAATAGCAGAAAGAATTACTATGTGTGTGCTTGCCATTCACAGTAGACTTATCAAAAAATGACAGCTAACAGCTCTTTTTCTTCAAAGCACTTTTTTCTTTGAATCCCAATATTAAATCTTAAGTTTACCACATTTTTGCTTCAAACACAGGTGGACATTTCAAAATTACCTAAGCAATGGAGGAAATAGCTCTGCCTATTCCCCTCACGTTGCAGAAAAACATTCCTAAACTGCAGTGGAACTCTGACTACAAATTATTTCTTGAACACCTCAGTAGAGCACTTTGTGATTTTCAGCAGTAATAACTATAAGCACTGGAATGAGAAGACACCATCATAAAGATATCCACAAATCGCTTCTGTGTGGTAGTGAAAAGGGCAAGAGATATCATTCCAGGTTCATCAATGGGTGGATTTTGGATCGTAATCTCTCCATCAATCAACACTGTGGTTGCTTTAAAAATCTTGGGCGAATATTAAAAGTGGAAAATGAAACATATCATCAAGAAGGTCTCCCCATTCTGTAGAGATAATATTGATCTATTAGAGAGAGGGGAGCATTAAAACAACCTTCTCAACAGTGTTGGCCATTTGAGTTCAAGCCTCTACCACCTGAAGGTCTGAAGGGACAGATAAGTATCTTCTAGTCTTCCAAGAGTTTTCTGTGAACAGCTTAAATTAATAGATGTCTTCTGAAATCAGTTTTTTTGCCACTGTAGGTAGCTCTGAATGTGGTCTCTGCTTCCTCCCTCTCTCTTCTTCAGAATCCTTACTAAGGGCAGCAGAAAAGGAGCAGTATGGGAGCACAGTAGTCCTCTGAGTGAAAAGTATCAGTGTCCACTGATGCTTTGTTTCCTTCTACACAGAAGGATTTTTACTTTGAACATTTTATTCTGGAAAATGCCTAGATCTTCTCAGCTGGAAAATTTTCCACTCCACATATCAATCCAAGTGGTGTAACTGCTAATGACTAAGTAACTTTACTGATATGTTCATCTTGTCTTTTGTCTAGATCTTTTTGTAGACAAACAAATGGCATATCCTCTTTGAAAGGTGGTGTTTCACTCTGATGTGTAACACTGAAGTATCTGATCTCTCTTTCATACTGTGTCTGGTTCAGTGTGACATGCTTTTTCCTGAGACAAAGCTGAAAAAGCTGAAAATTTTGAGTGATAAACTGGGCTGCTCAGTTGGTAAGATCCGCTGTGGCCCAGAAGTCTCCATCATCCCCTCCTCATGAATGACTCAGTATCCACAGTCCTAATATTGGTATCTGTCTTCTAGATAGAAGAGCCTAATTTGACTCTTCTATTTTTATCTGTGAGGGACATGACAGTTCCAGAGAGTGTATTGCCCTTCCTTGCACCACTCTTTGAGACTCATGTTAGTGTTATGAGAAAAGGTGTCTATTCGGTAAATGAACTTTATAACCTGGAGTCATCAATAAAATTAAATATGTGATTCTGGTCCAGAAATTATGATTGCAATATTTTTGAAATTTCTGAGGGGTAAAAAGCTGAGGGGAATGAAAAGATCTACAGTGTTTTCACTCCCAGATGGGAAATCCCTAAAATTAAGCTTCAGGGTTCACATTAAGTTTTTGACAAGCTCATGGCTTTGATAAGTAATCAATAAACTAAAAACAGTACAAACTGTATTTAAATAGGTGCCTTTAAAGAGGCAGGAGTACAAAAGATTTCACTTCTTCCTATGACTAGAATTAGGAAGGAACCTTGTGGATACTTTTGGGCTTGACCTCACTGTAAGTTAAAATATTTTTATTCTGACTGGAGAAACTTCCATATTTAAACTACACAGTGAATTAAAGACAGGGGAAGACTAGCTCCCACTAGAAATGCCCATTTAAAGAAACTTCCTGAAGAGCCTAGAATAGCAGAAAAAAATACATTGTACTATGTCTGGTTTGGTCTGCACACACAGTGATTCCGAGAAGGAAATAGAAGAGCTAAAACCTAAGAGGCTTTTCTGTGACACAACAGGAATTACTTGGCAAGGAGCACCACAGCACTGTTCCTTGGGTAATTATGGGAGACAGGTTTCCTTGGTGTATTAGAGACCATCTCCAGTTCAGCTTGTTCTGTTTCATTGCTGGAGGAGTGAGAGGATGCAAGGTAGGAGCCAACTGAAGGAAAACATAACCAGAACTGGTAGAAGAATTAGGATCCAGCAAATTTACCAGCGTTATTAGCAGTAATGGATCAGTCAATTTTTCCTATTTACACACCCAGTGTGCAGCACAACTGAAGCTGATGAGCTTACAGAGATATATATTGGCAGGGAAAATCTGGCTGGGTGTATAAACACTACAAAGCCATTGTGTTTATTTGAAACATCCTACAGCCTTTTCATCTGCTGAGCGACAAACTGAAATCACAACGTTTCATTTAGGTTCAATTTCTGAAAATTATAGCACATCTTAGAAGATAAGTACATATTTCTAATCTGATAGAAAATGATCAACTTACATCAGAATTGAATCTCAGCTGGCAAATGTTGCATGATATGATTTGCTTTCTTCGATGAGGAAGAGGAACTCCAAATGTATGATTTATTACAGCTTTTTGAATTGGGTCCATCTGTGAAGAGAGAAGAAGAAAAATAAAAAGCTTTTGCTGTTCCACTCTGTGCTATGTTATCTAAAATCTCAAAACAAATTCTGCATCATGCATATACCATGATATACAGAAACCTACTATTTTTCTTTGAAAATGAGTATTTCTTCTTCATACAGTTATATAAAAAGGTTATGCAGAAAGAAACAAAGAAAACTGTCATTAGCTTTCTTGAAACACATATCTTTAGTTCAATTTTGTATGCATGAATCTCCGTTTACTGAAGAAAGGTATAAGCTATAAATGCTGAACAGGTTTACCTATCCAAACACCAATTTGTGATTTTTATATCAGAGAAAAGCTAGCTCAATAAATAAAACAAGAATATTTTAAATAAAGTTACTAAGAAAAGGATTAATGAAAATGTGAAATATTATTATGTACATATAATTTCAGAATAGCACACAATACCTCAGTATTATCAAATAATAATAATAATATCCCATGAACCAATGAATCTCTTCCTTGAAACAACATCTATACAACTCATGAAAGATAAAAATCCTTCAAAGATTATTTTCACAGTCGTTTGGAGGAAACTATTTTGAATAAACTCTACTTTAAGGATGAATTTGGACTTTTACGAAAAGGATTATTCTGAGCTAACTTCTACCGGAACACTGATCTGATAGTGTCTGTAAGTCAGGATCCCTTTTAAAAAAATGTACTATTTTGTCAGAGAACATCACAAAAACTACTCAAGGGTCTTTTTTACTTGAAGGATTGAAATAACTTTCCCCAAATTCATTGAATAAATGCTTCTTATTTCTTTTTCACAAAAAAACCTTTGACAAATACTTTTAAAATCTGGTAATAGCTTTACAGCAACACTTAGTTAAGCCACTGATATTATTGATCTTTAAATTGTTAAAAAAAAATCACATATTTTAACTAATTCTGATAACCAGTATTTACAGAGCATAATCTGCCTATGTCATGAAAAAGACCCCAAATTTCTCAATGCCCATGCTTCTGTGATTCACTATTTTCTAGTCTTTTGGCAAAGGGATATTTGATAAATAAAGAATCAGAGCTTCTCCTTAGAGCAATCAATTATTCATGAAAGCTGTAATGGTAGACAGTCATGGCCTCCGTTGCAGTGAATCCAGAACAGATCACTACAGAATTTTTGCATCACATGACAGCTGTTCACTGTCAAATATGAAATAGGTCTTTAAATTAATTACTGTTGAAAAGAAAACAAGATTGGTTAAAAAAAAAAATTGAACACTCAGATACACACAAACCCGCCAAAGAAACCAAGAAAGACAGCAGAGCTTTACAGAACAGAAGAACAGTCTGGAAATAATTCTCAGTTTGAGCATCTTCAATTTGATGTGAAACACCTCATACATTTGTGTACTGACCAGCATAAAAGGAGCACCAATCCCCCCTAAAAACAAGGCATGCCACTTTAACATAACCCAAAGTAACACTGATGACTAAGGGCGGAGTACAGAAAGCTCTGAAAGACAACAGCAAGCTGTGTAAGACTCTGCAGTGATCAAACCATGCTCTAGGAGCACTCATTTTACTGAGTAACATGATCTTAAAAAAGCCCATAATCCAAAAAATACAATTATATAGAACAAAAATGACACCTCTACATAGGAAAGTAAATAAATTGTAACAGTTCTTCTTTTATGACTGTTCCACTGAGAGATGAATTCTTATGCCAGCAGAATCAATAGACCTGTATGTATCTTGCTATTTTTAACACTAAAGCATGACATGGTCTTAACTGATGCTAATTCTGTGCTGTTTAAGTTTGGAGAAATTCTGTTCCTTTTGCCACTGCAGGTCTAAAGCAATTAGGGAAAACTGAAGTTCAGATATATGGATAAGTCAGCACAAGGTAACAAGAAATTTCCAGAGTAACTGTTTGGGTTCACATTAACCACAGCTGTGAGATTCTTCAGAGAGCTTCTTTGTTCACTTCCTTAAGTTATGGCACTTGTTAGATAATGTGAGATAATGGTCTTCAGTGTTACCATGCTCATCTTTCACACTATTGCATCATTATCTCACAATGACTTGAGAAAGGCAACAAAGAAGTGCTCTAAGGGTTAAATAAAAATTGCTCCCATGGTTCACAAGATGGAAAAATGAATGGTTTTTTGGTTTTTTTAACTGGATTTACCCAACTCCAGAGTATATTCTAGTATGTTCTAGCTCCAGGTGAGGTTGGATTTCTGAGGCAACTGATGCTTTCATACAGAGAATGAGACAAAATATTTTTTAGAATTAAAAAGATCATGAATGTGTAGAATAGTTGCTCTATGTTATACTTAATTTTAATTTGGTCTCATGTAAAAAATGTGTGGTTTCTTTCCTAATAAGACCACAGATGTTCTCTTGTTTATCTGCTGATACAGAAATACATTGGCACCCTTCCCACTGAGTTTTTAAAGATGTATACTTCCAGGTTTACAGCTACATGGCATTACTGTGAATAGGATGATTCGTACTTGTGGCTCTAAATGAAGAAGTGTTCTGAATAGTTTTCAAATTAATTAAGAAAAACTTCTTCAAAATAAGAATACCTTCTCTGCCGGTTCATAGAATCATAGAATTGTTTGGGTTGGAAAGCACCTCATAGATCATTTATTTACAACCCCCTGCCATGGCTGGGGACACCTTTCACTAGACCAGGTTGCTCAATGCCCCATCCAGCCTGGCCTTGAACACTTCCAAGGATGGGAGAATTATTCTTTGATACTGCAAAGCACAGTTAAACTTAAAAACTTAGCACCGGATTCTAATAAAGTTAGGACAGAATGAGGGGTATTTAACATTATTATTTTTCCCTGGAGATATCATTTGGGAAATATCACCAATCCATAAATTCCAAATAAACATCCAAAAACATCAGATAAACCTCCACAAGTTTTATGCAGGAAATCTGAGAGGCAACAGGATACTTAGGTGCAGCATGATAAGGACTCAGATCTCACAGATACTGGAAGACAGAGAGGAGACCTGCTGAGAGTCAGAGGAATAGAGCTAGCTGATTGCAGAAAACAGAGAGCAAGAATTGCAGGGAAATGTAAAGAGGGAAGTAATATCATATAGCTGAGATAATCAGCAAGTGGTGAGATACTTTAAAGCATCTCCAAGCACTTCAAGATTTACTGAACATTGCTAATTACACATACAAATTTTATTTCAACTTATGTTAGTTGTATGCACTTTCAAAATAAATGTTATCATTATAAAGTTTGATAAAATCTGATTTTTACTCATCACTATTGCTATTTTACAATTCTGGATTTTATTTCTTATAAAAATAAGAAGTATTTTAGACAATATTCTAAATTTTGAATATTTTAAAATGCTAAAATTTAGACAAAAGTATTTTAATTTATTCTCATTTAAAGTGATGGACAGAGAAGTCTGCAATTCACATGAAAGATTACCATTGAGATGTCAAAGCTGTGCAGAAGACCAAGGCCAGTCCCTTTACTTCCGCTTGACAATATTTTCACTGTAAGTTACAACACAAAAGGAGTTTGCTCTGCGAGCTGCTCTGTGTTTGACTTGTCCATCATTTTTTTACCTTTCTACTCTCCAGCACCAGGGATTTTCTCTATGTCCCACTTTTCCATGTGGTCAGTCTAGGGATAGCATAGTGTTCAAGGCTTACTGCAAACCACAAGATGACTATTAGACTGAGCAATGAAGATAAATATTTAAGTTAATTTGATTAATTTTCGGTTTCAATACATGCACAACAATAACATAGTCTGTGTTTTAATAATTAAGGCTGAAATTTGTGGCAAGATGATATGATGCACCTTCTTTCATCAAATACTGTACTCCCTTCCCAAAATCTTCATGAACTTACCACACTTTAGGAAAATCCAGGCTTAAACAAAGGGCATGATAGAACTTGGTCCCTTACTTCATGTTCTTGGCTTTGACTCTATCACTATAATTTGGTTTTGCTTGTTTTAAATTCAGTCTTGGCAGACCTATGATATTAGCTGTATTCCTTGTCCTTGTGCTTACTATAGAGCATGAAAATACTCTTTATTTTGTGGACTGAAGATGAAAGTAGTGGCTGATGCATGAGCTTTTCTGGAGGAAATATCTAACACAAAATCACCAAGAAGTTGACCCAGGAGATCCATCATTATCCTACCTGCTGAGACACTTTTCCAGAATCACCATAGCTGCTATCTTTGAAGGCTTTCTGTAGCCAAATCTTCACCTCATTAAATTTTCAGTAAATATCCATGCAATGCAGAACCTGGGACGGTATATTTTACATATAGAGAACTCTGATCCTTTGGGAAGTAAATCTTATATATTTTTCACAAATAATTTTTAAGTGTTTTCGCACATGCGTGTGTGTGTGTGCGTGTGTGAAGAATTGTTTTATGCTGAAGCTGAAATTCAAACACCGAATTTCAAGAAATTTCAGTGTCTTCCTGTATTTCAAGAAATTTTTAATATATATAATTTTTATTAGTTCCTTTTCTGTGACTCCTAATCCCAGAGGCATAAGAATATGCCTAAATTAAAAACAACAACAAAGCAAGAACAAAGGAAAGCATGCGATGCACAAAGGCTCAAAAGGGACATAAGGGATATAAACCAAAGGGGTTTGTTTTTTAATTTTGTATTAAAACTAAAAGGCACAATATGAGCATTTCAAATGCTTAAGGTTTGCAGTAAATTAATTGAAATTCACTGATGTCTATAAATAAAAGCATCCAGGTTAAAGGATAAGATGATGTGGATGCCTAGAGCCTGTTCAGAGCATATGGTAGGCCTAAAGCAATCAAAATAAGTAAGAAAGTATTTTTACCTCAAGACCAAAGAAATTAGCTGAAAAAGATTGACTCAGATTACTATGTGAGCAGAAAAACATGTCAGGTCATTGAAGCTCTCAGGAAAAGATTGCTGTAGACCATTTCAGAAGTAATTTAAAAAAAAAATTACCCACCAAAAGACTGGCTTCC